CATACATGCGTACATACATACATATTTACTTATATACAAACTTATACTTCACATAAACTGATATATACATGAATGGATAATAAATGATGATAGATGGGTGAACAACTATTTTAATAAATGAACACCTAGACAAATCCATATATGTGGATGTATATCTATGTATACATATGATGATGATGATGATGATGATGATGATGATGATGATATGTACACATAAACAAAATGCACTGCGATACATGCCCGTACAGTGCATGCTTACATCTGGTGCGGGATCGCCACACCTTGAGCCTGGAAGCCTTCCTCGGCAGCCACAGTTCCGGAGCATGTTATTTCTGCGCCTGGCTTCCTCTCTCGCTGTTTCGCTGTTTTGACAAGTTATTACGCGTGTTTATACTACACTGTGTATACACAAGTTAGCATACGGCTTAGAAGTCAGCGTCAGTTGCAGACACTGACACGTCACGCAGATTCGCACACATCTGCACAAACCGCACGACTGCCAGCATTCCTGGGATAGGTAACCACTCATTCAACGCTACGAGCAAGGCCTTCATTCGTGTCGAGTCAGACTGTTCTGCTGGTGGAACCTGCCCATGGCGTGTTTTACACTTATGCTTGTGGCTCCGAGCCATTTGCCCTATCTCGTGTTTGCCAATGTGTCCGAGGTCAGCTGGGTCTCGGTGCAATGATGGGCAGCGCCGGCGCCCTACAAGGGTTGAGGTTTAAGACGTTCAGTTACGGCTTTCCTGAAATCAAACTCGTGGTTGTTCCGAGGTGCGTACGTCGAAACTGTAGACTCCAACACTCCTCACGCAAGTTTGAACCAGCATCACTGCGGCTGCTGCCGAGGACTCCTCCGCTGTAGCCCCTGTTCGCAAGTGTGCCCAAGTTGGCGTGATTTGTTTTGGGATGCCCCTTATCCTGCTTCTTCGCTCAGGGCTTGTCGTGAGTGGACCACCACATCAGGCTTACAGCAGTACCCCGTTTGTCGACCAGCAGTAGAGCTCGGACCTCTCATGCTTGTGCTGCCGCTGCCACAAAAGGCAACATCTTGCGTCGTCTGGTTTGTGGGTTGATGTCCTGCCGCCATGCTACGTCCTGCTCTCTACAACCCAATAGCTAAGGTGGAGCGCTTCGAGCCAGGCTGCTTCTGCCAAGTTCTTTTGCAGGGGGGATGCAGAGTACTGTGTAGTGAGACCCCTGATCGGAAAGCCCCTATTCTGCAAAGGGTCAGTGCACTAGGCATCCAACTGCTGCTAAGCGAAGAGATGGGGTGGTGGTCAAATTCGTCTGGGGCAACGAAGACCAAAGCAGGCAGATGCTACCAGAGAGTAGAGAGTTGGAGCAGGACTTGCATGAAAAAGCTGGAAAGGTGATCGTGTCATATCGTGCGTGTGAGACGAAGGAACGACCAATGGACCCCGAGGTGCACACATACTAGACACAGGCACAGTTACATATACATACATGCATACAGGCGTACTTACGTACGTACATGTATATAGGCATACTTACGTACATACATGCATACAACTCACATACAGGCATACATGCATGCATGCATGCGTACATACACACACGCACGAGTATATAAATTTGCATGTGCGTGTGTGTGTGTGTATGGGTGTATGTATATATGTAAATATATATATATATATGTACATACATACATACACACACATATGTATGTATGTAT